CCTAAGCGTAGAACCACAAATCCTTTCTTGTTGAACTTTCTTTGGTCTTTTTACAGTTGCAGGATGTTTCAATTTTAGAACTCGACATATAAAAAACATCAAAGAAGTCTTGCCCCTCAACTTGGGCTGATTTTTTGGTTTCTTCAGAGAAAACTTCATCTTCCATAGACATTTCATCTGGGCCAGATTCAACCTTCTCTTTATCATCATTATAATGCTTTGAAGCCTTCCTCTTCTTTCCCATTTATGAATTTGACTCTGTTTTCTACTATGTTTGGGAACTTCCTCTTATGTTGATTTTTCCTTCCATTTTCTTCAAGGGTTTCAACTCTGGATGGTGGCTTCTCTTTCTCCTTCTCCATTGTAAATGAATTTCTGTTATTTTTTGTTTCCCCTTTGAAGAAATTGTAGCAGATGCCTAAAGAAGGAGAATATTGAATATTACCATTTTCCTCCACTTTTAATCATTCTTTCCATATCTATTAATTATCTGACATGGATTATGATTATTATCAATAGCTATTTCTGAATCATTTTCAACTTCTACAACAAACAACTTGTCTTCTTCTTCCATAAAATTTGAACTTGTGGTACCATTGGTACATTTTTTTTAACATCGCAGTAGTTAAAAATAACCATAGTAAACGTAACTTTATAATGTGGTAAGAAAACCACCACATCTTCCTTAAATAATTGATAATCTTTGACAAAGTAGTTCCAATTGTAATATGATTTCTCATTTTTTTACCAATTTGGTAACCTCTAAGACCACTAGTAATTAAATGAAGAGTATTTTGTCCTTGTCCATGAAAAAGTAGCAACATATAGAAGTCTCTGACATGGTAAATAAGAAGAAAAACAGTAATAGAAAAAGTTATCATAAACACTAATTGATGATTAAATTTATCATAATCCGATAAAATTATATTTTGTTGAGGAAAGGAAATAACATACATTTTGTACTAATTTAGAGTTGCACCTTTAGCGTATGTCATAAAAAGTTGGAGTGCATGTTCTATTTATTGCAAAGCATGGATTTATTGATGATCATATGTTATCTAGCCACGCTGAAGACAAGCGAAGACAAAGTGTTACTATTAAGTTTTATGTTGGGAATGATAAAAAGTTAACACAAGGAAAGAAAAGTTTAATTAAATGTAACTGGACAGAAAATGAATAAGCAAAAGAGTACCTATCTAGTGTCTGAAAAGAGTGGAGAAGAGCATATTGCCATGATTGAGGAGACATTACAAATGCAAAGAGGTGTTTTTCCCTTTATGTATTTGGGGTGCAAGTTATTTAAAGGAAGGAGGAAAGGAGAATATTTCCATCATCTTCTTGAAGCTATTGATGCCAAGTTGTCGAGTTTGAAGAATATTTTTCTCTCGCAAGGAGGAAGGCTTTTGCTTATAAAACATGTGCTATCAGCTATCCCAATTCACACTATAGCTGCTACTGTTCCCCCGAAATCTACTATTGAGAGTATTGAGTGCAAATGTCAATACTTTCTTTGGGGAATAACGGAGTCTGGAAACAAGCATCATTGGCGATCATGGCGCAAATTGACTTTTCCCATTGCTGAAAAATGGATTAGGTATTCGGAATTTGATGGATGTTACTATGGCCTTTTCCTTTAAACTATGGTGGAAATTGAAGACTAATCAAGGAATTTGGTCAAAATATATTTATTCTCTCTTTGCTACAATGAAGGATAAGACTAGCTGGTCCAGAATCCAAATGGTTAATTAATCATCTGGCGTCCGCGAGTAGTACTATGGTCATTTGTGATGGTTCCTCTTCTTTCTAGCATGGCTAGGTGGCTGGAGTCCAGAATACTATGGAATGGCCCTATCGATCCTCTAGCGTCGAATTTACCGTGAAAGAGTTTTTTCCTTTCAAAAGATTTTTTTTTTTTGATTGTTTTTGTAGGTTTACTTGGGGAGCAAAGAGTGGAGCAATTGCGGAGTTTAGAGCTAACCTTTGTGGATGAACCGGACAAAATGGTGTGGAAACGGAACTCAACAAGATCTTTTTCCATCGCCTCAGCATATGAGGAAGCTCGCCCACACAGAGAAGAATTTCTTCCTCTTAAAATTTTTGAAATAAGCTTATCCCTTTAAAAATTTCTTCTTTCGCATGGAAGCTTTTTAATCGTTTACTTCCTTTCCTAGAAACCTTGCAAAAAATGGGTTCAGTCATGAATCCTTCAAGATGCCCTTTCTGTCATGCAGCTGAAGATACTATAGATAATACTTTTTATGCATGTCAACATATATCATTAGCGTCGAAATATTTTGCTTCACTTTTTGGTCTTTTGATTCCGGAAAATGCAGCATGGTGGAATAATTTACAAACATGGCAAAAGATGGGCAGCTTCACCTCCGCAAAAAAAATCCATACTAGTGGTCACTCCAATTTTCCTCATGTGGGAAATTTGGAAAATGCGAAACAAAGTCATCTATGATGACATTAGTTTTTCTTTGAATTTTTTGAAAAAAGAGGTTCTGTTTAATATTTCGAATATGTTGAGTGTGCATGATTTACAGGCCAGGACTTTGGAAGAGTAAAAGGATATAGAAGACTTGTTTCGAGTGAAGATTTTGAAGCCAAAAAGCAAGAGAACAAGGATATTGAGATGGCATCCTCCTGACACAGGACAAGTTATACTCAATTCAGATGGATCGGCACTTGGACACCCAGGACATGTAGGATAGGGATAGTTGTAAGAGGAGAACGAGGTAGTTTTATTTTTTCTGAATGTAGTTACATGGGCATTGCTACAAGTTTTGAGGCAGAGCTAGCTGGGATTTATCATGGACTCAAAGAATGCGAACAACAAGGGGCTTCACCAATTGATAATTCAGTCAGACAATGCAAGCATTGTTGCACAACTACAACAAGGAAAAAATTATCCTTAGAAGCAATACACAATTTTGAGGAAAATTTAGCAAATGATGTGCAGCACAAGTGCGAAAATAGTTCATATTTATCGCAAGGTAAATAGTGTTGCGGATGAACTTGCGAAAAATGCCTCATTGGGAAGTACATTGCGTTATCACTCTCAAGAGACTCTCCCTACATCTTTGAGAGGTAAGATTTTTTTGGATAGGAATAATTTTCCATGTAAGAATTAGATAGTTGTAAATTTTGACAAGGTTAAGAAAGATATGTCATGGGATTTATGTGTAAAATCTTTGAAAGACATGCTTTTAGCATAGCTTCTACTTTTGAATTAAGAACTTGCAGGGGATAGTTTGCTATCTTTGTAAGTTGTTAGAGAACCGTCATGGGGCTTTTTAAAAAAGCTTTCTGTAAGACGGTCTCTTTTGAATTGGATAAGTCTTAAGCACTGTCTCTTGTAACTTTTTCTTTTAATTAATAAAATTGGGGGGATGCCTGTCAGGTACCACCCTGGTTCACCTAAAAAAAAGGTTTAATTAAATGTAGCTTACACATGTGGAATGCTTGGCAGCGACTCCATGCAGACAGTAAATTATTATTACGAAATGATTACCTAATTTAGTTTTTTTTTTATTTGAAAAAAAGGAAAAACCGAATATTTGGTAGCAGCCCCAACTATTTCAAGGAAATTTCGGTATGGATTTCACTAAAATGGATGATGTCATATGCATTTAGGTTCCATTCATGAAAAAAAAATTGATTTTTTTTCTTTTGATGAATATGGCCTTACAAAAATTTCTTCTGACCAATAGTGAAATGCGAAGAGTCAACCATCACATTTCCATGTAGAGTAGTTGTTCATTTGCAAACTTTGCTTTCGAAGGTTTAATATAACACGAAACTATTTTTGATGAAAGTGAGTCATGAACACTAGTCCGGTCAATGTCCTTGCCCTTGAAACATGAAAACACAAACACACCATCACTTCAAATAATTTATGAGAGCTAATGAGAGTTGTAACAACATAGTTATGAAATTGTAGGAAAAACAACTTGCACAAACCTCTTGTCAGTTGTCATTAGTGACAATGCAGAGTGACCAATGATCTGTTGCGCATCTTTACCTAATAATAAACCTGTAAAAATAGTGTGATTAGTTAGATTTGCTTCAACACAACACCTACAGATGTAAAAAGTGGAGTAGAATAATGAACGGGTATGGGTTCAACAAAATATTTTATTTCAGTCAAGTAATAAAGATAATTTACCTAGGAAATGCCTTTGTTTTTGTACCACAAGCATTAAAGGGGTAGATAAAACCATGCTCAAATGTTCTTGATTGCACATTATAATAGTGGATGTCGTAGGTGTGTCACTGGTGAGTTTATACAATAAGTGTGTGTAATAGGTAAGTTTATACAACGTAAGGATCCATACCTTTAGAAGTCAAGTTCTTTGGAGAGTTTTTCTTTGTTTTACTTGATGTTACATAAAGATTTGTACCTTTAAACATGAGACTTATTTATTGTGTTGGTTCGCATAATAGTGGTGTCTATAGCGTTTCTTCTTTCCGATTATTGTGATTAAGGGTCGAAGATTTATATCTTTTGGTTTTTCTTTTCAATTCTTGAAGGGGTTTTTGCTTGTATGTTTAGTTTTTTTTTTTTTGGTTTTTTTTTTTTGCATCCAAATGTACCCCATCCACTTTAGTACATCCAATACTTACACAAAAGTGCTAAAATTTTACTGCAACTATTTTGAAATCTCATAAACACATCTAAGCTGGTACTTTAAGCAAAATCATCCAAACTCTTGTACTCTTGGTGGTATTCTAAGCTGGTATATTGGTGTTACTCAAACATGGGTGGTGTTACTCTTGGTGGTGTTGCTCTTGTACTTGTACTTCCTCTTTAGCCGCATCCAAACTCTTAAGCAAAATCATGTGGAGGGTGAACTTATTGAATTGTTGAACAAGGCATTCATGATGAACAACCTCGCATATATTAAGAGCTCCCTGGAGATACGACATAAAGAAGGGTAGGGTGAAAATTGAAAACAATATTACACTTTCTAAATAGCGTATCAGCCATGATTTGTCTCTCATCCACTGTCATCCATGTTGGAAGGGCAAAAAATTAACTCGCACTCCAACTGGGGACTGAGGCCAACATCGATGAAAAGGGCTTCAAACAGTCTAATGTCCTGCGCTCCATGAACAACGATACACTTGTGGTCTGCAGGGATTACAAATCCCATCCTAGCATCGTTGTATGCATTCCTTGCATCCTCAAGGGCAAGATTCAGCTCTTCCAATGCGGCATTATCATCCTTGAGAAGTTGTTCCAATACATTGTCTAGTTGCATTTCATTGAATAGCTCCCTAGCGGTTGCAAAGTTGTGATGCAACAAGAGGCGTTGCTGCTGCTGCGCGAAAAAGGGGCCCTGTCCGGCCTCAGCCATCTTACCAAGAAAACTGAATCAACAAACGGGATGCCGATGAGTCTCTCGCCAAAGGGAAGCCAATTGTGATTTACTTTTTTGATTCAAATGGTACTGTCCTGCTTGTATGATTAGTTATTTTAGTTCATGGGATTGAATTGGGTTCGGTTTCTGTTGAACTTGTGAATTGGTACACATAGTAGGTCAAATATCCTTTTTTATTCTTCTTATTTTTTATATTTCGATTCAAATATCTCTAGATCATTAGGCTGCATAATGAATAGTTTATCGAAATAAGGTTTAATTCATATAAATTTGGTTTTTGCCATCTATTTGCTATCAATAGTAATACGAGAAGGAAAAAATGGTAAAGAAAAACTACGATAGATCTTTGATTTTTTGACCTATTAAAAGCCTAATCATGATCGTCACAGTGAGAACCATTTTGTATGACAAAGTAACGTTCCCATAGTAAACAGGTTCTACACCTTCTCCAATGCAAAATAGGAATGAATAAAAAACTAGGTCCCGAGTGAGAGTGCCTGAGGTCATGGCAAAAGACCATGATCTTCCCTCCTAATGGCAAAGATAACCCCGTAATGTCTTAGAGTACAAGGTTAAAAGCTTGCACAACATCAATCTGGAAAGTAGATGCTTCATCCTAGAGAATAAGACCCGCTTCTATGAGTTGTGCTGAATTGCATTGTTTGCAAACACCACATGTCTTTCCTTTAGTAAAACCCAATGGAATTTAAACTTTGAATGTGTTGTTCTTCCTTCATGCAAAATGGTGCAGGAACACCTGAAATTGTAACAATAGCAATATGCCCTAGGAGTCTAACAATTGCAAGATGACATTTATAGAGTGTCTTTTGAGCCCTATCAGGACCATTGACGAAAAAAGCTTGACCATCTTATGAGTCGATACTTCCCATGATACAATTAAGTACCTTTTTCTAATGATCAATATTCATCTTAGCATGCAACTAAGAATCTTATGTCAAAAATATAATACCTATTTCAAAGTACATTGACCATCTTGTTAGTCGACACTTCCCATGATACTATTACATATCTTTTTCTAGTCAACATTCATCTTAGCGTGCACCTGAAGATCTTTTGGGGATACAACAATACCTCTTTCAGAGTCTAACTTCGTAGCTATTGGCCTAAAACACATACTAGTTCGAGGTGGAATTAAATGGTTGTCACCAATGTGTTTGTTCATTTGTTTAAGATACCGACTAATATCGTCTAAGATTTTAAGCCTAATGTCTACCTCTATTAGAGATGACAGTAGCCCAAGATGCCAAAAATAAGGAGATATTTGTCAGTCAAATTTAGTGAATGACGTAGTAGAATCATTCAGAGTATAATAAACAAGCAACAATGTATATAAGTTTACAAAGAAAATTATATCTTGAAGTCAGCTGCTTTATTGAGAGTATCTTCAATGTATTCATCAGATACTAGCCGCCCTAACTTCAAGGCAACCTCTCTGAAGTAAGAGTATTTCATACCATTTGCAGTCAATAAATCATCATATGATATTGGAGCCAACACAATACAAGAAACATAGTTTATTTCTACATTTTTAAATGTAACAATGATATACTTATTGTGTGGATACTTCAATTCTAATTCTAACTTCTCTCTAGTATCGACATCTCAAGAAACCCTCCGCCAGATAACCACCCCTTCTCCCCCGACCAGGGGAACCATTTTTATATTTATGTCTATTTAAATTTCAGTCTTTTTCATTTAAGTTAGCCACCAGAAAATGAGTAGCCGCCAGAACGACAGATCTGGCCATGGACAGCCACCATCTTTACCAAACTATCTGAGCCACCGCCGCGGCCCCAATGCTGTTGCTGAGGTTCAGATTCGATCCGCTGTAACATCACCTCCACCATAGCTGCCGTTCATCCATCATCGACGCCACCGGATCACGTTGAACGTTGCAACACTGGATGCCGCTTCCACCATCCGTGTTGACGGGTACAGATATGGAGCTTTTAATCCAGATCTGAATGTGGCACATCCGGCCACTGCTCCGACGCCAATCGAGAGGAACTCGCCATCGGCCACTGGTTTGGAAGTGGGACAGAAAATTTTGGGATTAGTATTAATTAGTAGTGTGGTTAAAAGAATTTCCATTTAAAAAGATATTAAATCAAGTACTAAATTTAAACCAATCCTTAAAAAAATGTAAAAGTTTGACGTGAGTGCACCTTTACTTTTTTCTTAAAAAGAATTAATTATTATTTTACCCAATTTAGAAACCTCTTCAGGATTTTTTTTAAAAATTTTTTACAAGTACCTTCTGAGATGTATCGTTAAAATTAAAACTTTACTTCACTATTAAAAAATAAAAGTGCCTTCTTTGACTTTGTATTATGATATTTAATATTAATGCCTTAATATATTCATTCTATTAAGACATTTTCCTGATGATGCCTTGATAGCTATGTCATTAATATGTGTATTTTTTTATTTATTTATTTTTAAATGAACATTAAGGATAGGATGACTTTCAGGTTCCAACTGACCAAAAAAAACTCAAGGGGTATACCTAGGAGGTAAATTTTTGAATCAGCTGGTGCTAGATAGCACAATGCACCCAAGGGGTACACCCAAGGGATGGACATATATACTATCTAGTTCCCTAGTTTCACCCCTCCCTTATTTATTATTATTAAAATAAAAATAGCAAATGGCAGAGTATAGATCATGCCATATTACATCATGTAGCCTTACTACGAATATAAGGGAAGGAGGATTGGTCTGAGACCAACAATCCTTTTACATATCTAGGCAAAGAAGCTAAAACTGGAAACGTCTCTGAGCTACCTGAAGATGCAATTTTAGCTAACTTGTCAGCTACAAAATTCGCTTCTCTATAAATATGAGTAACTCTATAGCCATTTCTAAGAATTATAGAAAGCATTTCTTGAAACACAAAATAATATCTCCAAGGAAAATATGAGGGATTCCTCAAAGCATAAGCCAAGCTCTGATTGTCCGTCTGTAAACAAACATTGAGAAGTCTCATCATGTCATATCTTCTCAAACCAAAAAGAGCCCCCGCCACCGCCACCATGTAGCTATTACCACCACCTAGATATCCGCTTTCTCCATAAATAAAAGAACCTCCTTCTCCTCGGATGGCAAAACCATACCCCCGCATCACCTAGTATAGATGAACCATCCAAATTTATCACATAAGAATTTAAACAAGGAGGAGACCACTTAACCTTCTTACAAGTAGGCTGTGGCTTCTTACTTAAACACGCACCAAAGAATTTTTTAAAGAAATCCTTTTCCGCCAAGTTAGCCACCTTCAAATCATGCACCTTCATAAGCATACCAACATGATCCTTGATTGCCAAAACAACTCTCGATAATTCCATGACACAATCTTCAAATATCACTTTGTTACGTGCCTTCCATGTTTCCCAAACGATAACCATTGGCATAAGGATATGGAAAACTCCATTAGCCGACTTTTGATCCCCTCTCGCCACCACCTCCGGAACATAGAAGCCAAAGAAACACACTCTACCGTTTTGATACTCATCATTCAAGCAAAGACATTCCACACTTTCGTAACCTTATGACACCGACGGAATATATGCTCAATATTTTCAGAATGCATCCTGGTAAAAGAGTAAATAGAAGGCAATATTTGCAGCCCCATGCGGCTTAAGATTTCTAGAAATGGCAAGAGCTTATTATGCAACCTGCATATAAAGAAGGAAACTCTTAACGGAACCTGCTTTGTCCAAACCAGCCGCAACCCTTCCTCCTCCACGCGCCTGTTTCGCATAACCTCATAAGAAGATTTGACCGAGAAATCTCCTTTAGGGGATGGATGCCAAGCCAACACATCATCACCTTCATAGAAATCCTGCTCAAAATTTTCAAGAAGAATTCTAACATGGTTAGCAAGGACATTATGAAATTCTAACAAGAATTGTTGCTTATTTTCAAAAAACTCCCGTATAGTAAGCTCTGGAATAGGTGGTTGTTGATGATCAACATCCCATATCACTCCAAACTCCGCCCAATTGTCAGACCAAAATGAGCTCTTCCTTCTGTGAACACTAATTTTAGAATGAGCCCTTTTCCGAATTTTTGAGATGCGCAACCAAGAAGTTTTTTTTCCTTACAGTGTTAGACAAGGATGTTATAAACTTGCTCCACAGCCCCGTTTTTTGTTTTGAGTTTCCACCACTGTTTAGTCATCAAAGAATCAATCATTCCTTGGAAATCTCTAATTCCCAAACCATTTTAAGAAGTCGGATAGGTAAGCCTCTCCCAAGATCTCAAATGACGCCTATTCTCATCAAGAGCTCCATTCCACAAAAATCTTTGACACTTCTTCTCCATTTCTCGTAGTATGGCTTTAGGAGGAGGAATAACTAAAAAAACATGTATTGGTATTGTGGACAACGCATGTTTAATCAGCACTAAACGACCTCCTGGGCTTAATAACCGGTTCTTCCAACTTAGAAGTTTTGCATCCATAGTATCCAATAGAAATTGGAATGTTGTAGCTTTGCGCATAAAAAATAAATGACACCCTAAATATACAAAAGGTAAGGAACCTTTCTGAATACCCAAAGTGTGATTAATGATTCCAATCCTTCTAACATGACAATTCTCTGCCTCCATAAATGATCTCTTTTGGCGATTGACTTTTTGCCCCGAAGCTTGCTCATACATAGATACAAAATCATTAACCTCAACAAGCGATCTTTTCAGCCCCCTAGTAAAGATGATCAAATCATCAGCAAAAGCCAAATGAGATACCACAAGAGACCTACAAGGTGTACCATAAGCTGCAATTGCACCACTTCCCATAAGCTTTTCAACTTTCTTGTCATAGCTTCAGAAACCATAATGAATAGGTATGGTGACAGTGGGTCTCCCTGTTTTATACCCCTAGAAGATTGGAGAAAACCAACAGGACTACCATTAATTAAAACCGAGAACCAACTGCCACCAAGATTATTCATAAT